TAATAGGAGTTTCCTCCGAACTCTATAATATCATCATATAATTTCAAATCATATAATTTCCCATAATATATATATATATATATATATATATATATATATATATATATATATATATATATATATATATATATATGTATATATATATTTATTTATTTATTTATTTATTTATTTATTTATTTATTTTCAAGAGCATAAATTTATACACTACAAACATAGGGTTTATTGAAAAATAATGCTCATTTCTTTTTGAAAGCATACTTTCTAAAATTTTCTCAGTTTTTAGAATCACGCAAAACCCACGAAAACTACATGAATTAAGCTCACGGGACTACCTCATGGGACTTGGTAGTCCCATTATGTTCCCAGCCATCTCACGGGATTGTCCATTTTCGTGAGAACCACGGGGTTCCCTCACGGGACTGCCGAATCCCATGAGTCCCGCTAGCTTCCCACGTGCTAGGCAGCGGGACTCCTGGTCCCGTTGCCCTGGTCCGTGGGACAGCTCAGGTCGTCTTCTCCAACGTATCCTCCGACCAGAACGCTGCTCAAATGACCTAGTACAAATCACAAACTCATTCCCAATTGCTAGGGGTGTCACACTTTCAATTTGAGAACATGAGTGTTTAAAATCCCTTAGTTAGGGTTTGGATTAGCATTTACTTGTATGGTGCTAGTGTGGATATGAATTGTTGATTGGAATTGTATTTGTGCTTTGATACTGTTTAAACAGAGTGGTATATTTATACGGTCGTAAGCAAGGCTCGGATCTCTCACGTGGGTCGGGAAGGTCCGGTCTTGCCTCGTGCCAAAAGTCCCTTTCAAGGTGCATTTAATACCCTATTTATAGGGTCAGAAAGGTGGGTCATGCCGGGCATCCGGCACGTAAGACACGTGGTGGGCATGCACCGGGTGCTACCTGTGGCCGTGTTGACGTCTGCCATGCGGCGCTAAGGGTCTGACTCCTCCTCCCCTCTAGCCGAGAGTCATTTATGGACCTCCGGTCGGGGTCGCCCAGTAAATCGGTCACTTCTCGGTGGGTTCTACGAGGTATCTCGCTGACCGGGGGTCGACCGTGCCTACCGGTCGTTCCCAGTCGGGAAGGGTAGGAGGGCTTACTTTCAAGGGTCGGGTAATGACCCGGTCTCGATACGGTCAGGCACCGGGCGTACATCCTCAGGGTCGAACATATATCCCTATCACATAGCCCCCCTGGCTCGGGGCCAGACGACGCCTTGCTGGAGGAGGGGCTCGAGCCAAGGCCTTGGGGGAGTGTGTCCGGGGCTGAACTCTCGTGGATCGCGGGGCACCTGCACCACGGGCCGTTCTTGAGCAGGGCGTGGCACGCGTCAGTTGCGCCGCCCCTCGAGATGCGAGCCCAAAAAGCGGGACGCGAGGCGTTTCCGCGTCAGCCTCTCGCCCCTATAAATAGTGGTTTGGCTGGGGTCCCACTACGCTTTCCCTATTTCTTGCCAACAACCGGACGTTCCCGAACGGCCATCCAAACGCAGCTTCTAAGTCTTCTTAACCGGTAAGTGAGCTCTTCTTCTCTCCTCCTTTCCTTCTTTAGCTTTAACGCTCCTAGAACCGTCTAGGTCCTTAGGAAATGGGTCGGTCGACAGCTTGGGCGTCTTTAAGTGGGGCACCGGTCGTCTGAACACTGCTTCTCCCCCTTGATCTTTTAGAGGTGCGAATATGTCAAGCTCCGATAGCCAGAATTGTTCGGCACGGGACTACGCAGCCGGCAGCGATGACGGGTCGGCTAGAACGGAATCCGGGAGCTCTTCATCTCGTCGTTCTGATTCGGCGAGCGATGGCGGTGCTCACTCTCCTCGGGCGGATACTGGCAACGCGTTATCCGTCGGGCAACCGGGCAGCAGTGATGGACCGAGCGAAGCCCCCACACCCGATCGCGCCGTTGAGGAGGACCGGTTACGCGGACGTGGTGATTCCGCCGGGGCGCCCAGCACTTCCGGGCAAAATCTCCCGATTTATGGTAACGACGGACGGGGGTTGCCGCCGGGCGCCATGGCCGCGGCCCTCGACCCCTCGCTGTCTCCTAGGTCGGCAGCCCAACTGGCTGACGACCTGCTATCCAAGAAGAGGGTGTTTCTGAGCAGCATTTCCGCCGAGAAGCACCAAAGTAAATTGACTAAGAAGGAGGTGGAGGACGCCGCTACCCTCCTGACCGGGCGGGTACAATTTAGTACCCGGAGGTCTCAAGGGACGGTCATCGACCGGACGCAGGGGCTCTGGTTAGGGATGCATCTAGACTCCATCAATACCCCCCTAACCTACCCGTTCAGTCCGTTCCTTCTTGCCTTTATGAGGCACTATGGAGTTCTCCCGGGCCAGATCTGTCCCAACGTGCACCGGATCATAGCTTGCTTTCCACAGATCTGCGCCCGGCACTACCTGGTCTGCACCGTCGAGCTATTCAATTTTCTATACACGGTTCACCCGCTCGCGGCTCGGTACGGGGACGGATTTCTAGCCGCTCAGACCCGGAGTCATCACTGCAACATCGTCAATCTCCCGGAAAACAATCGCGACTGGAAGAACCGGTTGATCTCGATCGAATACCCTTGGCGGCTCCCGGTCAAGAGGTCTTGGTCGCGCCACTTCACTGCGTGCAAGCGTCCCGCTCCTACCCGGGCTTTGAAGGACGCAGCGGCCAAGATTTCTTCCGAGTATTACGAGTTCCTTATCTTCAGGTCGGCCACCGAATACGAGGAAGCCCATCTCGAGCCGCCCCGATATGACGAACCGGAAAAGTACGTCCCCCGACGCCTTGAGGTGACGGTAGCCGCGCCACCGGTCGTATTGGCTTCCGATCAGGAACGTCCGTTAGTGGATCGTTTACGGGCGATGGGACTTCTCTTCTGTCTTCCTCGTTCTTTCTTTTGGTAGGGGCTAACCAGTTGTTACTTCCTTGCAGGTATGAAGCCCGGACGTACTTTCCAAACGGCTCCTTCGACCGTTAAAGCCCCCCGACCCAAGGCCGCTCTTGGGGGGAAGAAGGTGGCGGCGCCCGACGCGCCCTTGACGGCCGTCCCAGTGACGTCCGTCCCGACGGCAGTTCCACTTGACACAACCGCCCGGGTTGACGAGTCGGGTCCGACCCTGAGCAGTGGGTCGGACTTGCAAATCATCAGGGCCACGGGCAAGCGTGGCAAGGAGAAGGTGGGGGAGTTAGAGGGAGCCGTCAAACGGGCACGCCGCCAAAGTCCTCCCGACCTTACCCCTCTCATGAACTCACTGACGGGCGGCGACCTCCCGGGCAACCCGCTGGCCAAGATGAGCGCCATCTTCCCAGCCGAGGATGATATGGCCGGGTGGACCCCCGAGCAGGTCTCCGAGCGCGGGGCGCAGAATCTCGTGCAGGTATTCTTTCTTTCTTTCTCTGGTTTAAATCTTAAGTCTACTCGCTCGGCTAACTTACTTCATTTCAGCTCACCCTGGTGCTCACATCGCTCTACTACCGCTCGAAGGGCGGGTCGGAGAGTGATGCCCTCAAGAAGGAGGTGAGGGAGCTAAAGAAGAAGCTGAAAACGGCCGAGGAAGGCAAAGACATTGCCGAGGCCATCGCAAAAAAGGCGATCGGGGAGACTGCCAAGGCCCGGAAGGAAGCTGAGGACCTCCGCCTGCGACTACAAGATCCGGTTGGCTTGGCTGCCAACCTCTGTCAAGACCCGGCGTTCGCCGAGCGGTTTTTCCGGGAGTTCATCAAGCACAACATGGCCGAAGATATGATGTGGGTCTTCGGCAATTGGGCTTATGCTTCCGGTCAGCGGAACACGCATCGGGAGGTGGGGTCCGTTCTGACCGAGGTGTTCGATGGAGATGATCTCAACACCATCTTGACTAACCTCGCGGAGAGCGTCGCCGACCCCGGTCTGATGCCGTATACGGAGACTGAAGCCGAGCCCTCCACTGCTGCCGAGAAGGACCCCGTGAAGTGAAGCATCGTCAACTGACGTTCGGGGTTTTCTTTTTCTTTTGTCTGTAGTTACTGTCCGGGAGCCCGGCCCCATTGTGCCGGGCGTTTTGAACGCTCACTCGACCGGTTTTAATGACATTTTTGTCTTTCATTCGGTTTATCCTACTTTTGCTTATCGTGTTTGCGTTATGTCCTTTTATTTTTGCTTTCCAGCATTGTCGTTTTGGGTCTAACCACGACCCCTGTATAGCCCCCCGAGTCCGAGCGGCTATGACGGTCGGTCACTTGCCGGTCGGACTACAAAGGTAAGGAGGCAAACGCGAAAAAACGCGTGTATAGCCCCCCGAGTCCGAGCGGCTATGACGGTCGGTCACTTGCCGGTCGGACTACAAAGGTAAGGAGGCAAACGCGAAAAAACGCGTGAATAGCCCCCCGAGTCCGAGCGGCTATGACGGTCGGTCACTTGCCGGTCGGACTACAAAGGTAAGGAGGCAAACGCGAAAAAACGCGTGTATAGCCCCCCGAGTCCGAGCGGCTATGACGGTCGGTCACTTGCCGGTCGGACTACAAAGGTCAAACGACGTTATGGTCGATTGGGCAACAAAGGCCGGAAGTTTAAGCGACATTGTGGTCGTTTGGGCAACAAAGGACGGAAGTTTAAGCGACATTGTGGTCTTTTGGGCAACGAAGGCCAAAAGTTTAAACGACATTGTTGTCGTTTGGGCAACAAAGGCCGGAAGTTTAAGCGACATTGTGGTCGTTTGGGCAACAAAGGCCGGAAGTTTAAGCGACATTGTAGTCGTTTGGGGAACAAAGGCCGGAAGTTTAAGCGACATTGTGGTCGTTTGGGCAACAAAGGCCGGAAGCTTAAGCCGGTTCCGACTGCAGTATGTTGGCGAGATTCTTGCTTGTTGGTGAAAGGACGATTTTCATTGCAGACACCTAAGTAATGACATTACAACATTCGAGCCAACTCATGTGGTCTCGGGAAGAGAAGTACAATACAGCAGGTACAGACGGGAAATGAAAGAAAACATGAAATTACAACTCCGCCTATGACATTCTACTGACGGAACATCACCAAATTCTCTGAGTTCCACGTCCGGTCAACCGGTCTGCCGGTTGTCGTTTCGAGCTTGTAGGTACCCGGGCGTATTACTGCTGACACCACATACGGGCCTTCCCAGTTCTGTGCCAATTTCCCTCCTTCTTGAGGTTGGCTGGCTTCACGTCTTCTCAGTACGTAGTCCCCGACTTGGAAGTAGCGCGGTCGTACCCGGACGTCCCGGGTCGCTTTGATCCGTTTTTGGTAGTCGGCAATTCTCCGGGCTGCTAAGTCTCTTCTTTCTTCGATGCAGTCCAGATCTAAGGATCGGGCTGCCTCGTTTTCTTCTTCGACGTATTCACTCTCCCTCGGGCTCGTAATCCATGCTTCGACCGGTAGACGTGCTTCGGCTCCATAGACTAGAGCGAAGGGCGTTTCGCCGGTCGCCTCTCTCGGGGTAGTGCGGTATGTCCACAGGACAAACGGGAGCTCGTCCGCCCATGACCGGCTGGCTGAGTGGAGTTTTTTCTTTAGACCCTCCAAGATCGTCCGATTAGCATTTTCCACTTGGCCATTTCCTTGGGGGTATGCTACGGACGACTGGATGGATTTTGTGCCGATCGTCGCTAGGAAGTTTTTGAAGTATTGGCCCTCGAACTGTCTCCCATTATCTGTAACAATCTGCACCGGTACCCCGAACCTTGAAACCACGTTTCGCCATATGAAACGGGCACACTGTTGTGACGTGATCGTCGCGAGGGGTTCCGCTTCCACCCACTTGGAGAAATAGTCTATCGCGACTATTATAAATTTTCGTCGACCCGACAGTTGGGGAAATGGTCCAACAATGTCTACCCAGTGGCGGAGCCACAATGGGGGCAGTGGGGGCTGCTGCCCCCACTCACCCCTTCGTAATTTCTTAGTGTATATACATTTATATGTAAAGATTACTAAAGAATTTAGCAGCTCAACTGGTTGAACCTTGGTTATGATATATATATAAAATAACATGGGTTCGAAACCCACCTCCAGCAGTTTTCTTCCTTCCCAGCTTTTAATAAATGTTCGAAACCCACCAGCAGCACTTTTCTTTCTTCCCACCTATTAATAAATGTTTCTTTTTTTAAAAAAAAAATTAAAGTATTTATTAATATAATTTCTTTCCGAGTATAGTTTTGGCTCGGCCCCTAAGTAGTCTATCATAAACATTTTATTATAATTTATAATATATTTAGACCATATTATAGGTAGGTGTTTGATATTTTGGCATTAACAATTCTAACATCATTTTAAGTATGCCCCCACTGACATAATTTTCTGGATCCGCCACTGTGTCTACCCCCCACCGTGCAAAGGGGATGGCTGTGCTGACCGGGTGGTAAAAGGTAGCCGGTCGTCCGGGCATCCTTGCAAATATCTGGCAGGTCTCACACTCTTTGGTGAGCTTCTCGCAGTCAAGCTGTATCGACGGCCAGTAGTATCCAAGCAACATTATCCGCCGAGCTAACGATCGCCCGCCCTGGTGCGATGAGCATATTCCTGCATGCAACTCGTCCATGACTAGCTTGGCTTCAAAGGCGGATAGACATCTCATAAGCGGGCCCCCGTACGACCGTCTATACAGCCGGCCTTCCTGTATCTGGAACCTTGGCGCTCGGAGCTTAGCTTTTCGGGCTCTCGCCTCATCATCCGGGAGTCGACCGTCTTCTAAGTATCCCATTATATCGGTTATCCAATTCTCTTTGGCCGGTTGGATCGGTAGGATCTGTCGATGGTCGATGGAAGGGTACGGTATGACGAGGACCCGGGCTACCTGAGAGATGTGCTCGGGTGCTTCCACGCTCAACTTCGAGAGGATATCAGCATCGGCGTTGTCCAGCCGGGGAACGTGTTGGACTGCATATGTCCTGAAAGCGGTTAGACGTTCGATTACTAGGTCTCGGTAGCGCCCTAGTCGTTCGCCATTGACTTCAAAGTCTCCCAAGACTTGCCCGACTACCAGTGACGAGTCCGTTCGAGCCCTTACACTTTCTGCTCCGAGGTCCCTTGCAAACTGTAACCCTGCGACAAAGGCCTCATACTCCACCTCGTTGTTTGTGGGAGAGAACTGGTAGATCAGAGCGTAGTAGACTTTGAATCCTTCGGGACTTGTGATGACCACACCTCCTCCGGAGCCTTTCCGACTGCTTGATCCGTCGGTGGCGACTTCCCACCATGAAACATCTTGAACCTGCTAATCTGCGGTTGGGGTCTCCCTGGCTGTACATTCGACGACGAAGTCCGCTAGCGCCTGTCCTTTGATAGCCGGGCGAGGTTTGTACTCAATGGCAAACTGTGTTAACATCATAGCCCATATTACAAGGCGGCCGGAGGAGGAAGCCGTGCGAAGGACGGATCCGATCGGTTGGTCAGTTAGCACTCGGATGACTCGGCCTTGAAAATAGGGGGTGAGTTTCTTTGCAGTCGTGTAGAGGGCGAGTACCATCTTTTCGAGGCGGGAGTATCTGAGCTCCGGTCCTTGAAAGGCGTGGCTGACATAATATACTGGTCGTTGTACACCATCGGAATCAGTGCGGCATAGCGCAGCGCTCACAGCTCGGTCAGAGGCTGCCAGGTAGAGGTCAAGGTCTTCGCCCGGTTCTGGTTTAGAGAGGATGATCGGAGACATTAAGTATTCCTTCAATTCCTTGAATGCCACTTGGCACTCCTAATCCCACACAAATCCATTGACCTTTCTTAATGTCTTGAAGAAGGGTAAAGCCTTTTCCGCTAGCTTGGATAGGAATCGACTGAGAGCGGCCAGTCTCCCGGTTAGTTGTTGGACTTCCTGGACTGTGGTGGGCGGTTGCATATCCAAGATAGCCTTTACCTTAGCCGAGTTGGGCTCAATTCCCTTCTTCGTCATCATAAATCCCAAGAACTTCCCGGTCTGTACGGCAAACGTGCATTTTGCCGGGTTTAGACGCAACCGGTAGGTGCGCATCACCTCGAAACATGCTCGAAGATCCCGGGCGTGGTCCGTCCGGTCTTTACTTTTGACGAGCATGTCGTCCACGTATGCTTCCATCGTCCGACCAAGCTGTCCTTCGAATAAGGCGTTGATCATCCTCTGATATGTGGCCCCGGCATTTCGCAGTCCGAATGGCATGACTCTGTAACAGAAGAGTCCGTCCGGAGTTACGAAGGACGTTTTGGCTTCATCTTCCTCGGCCATTAAAATCTGATGGTACCCTCTGAAAGCGTCCATGAAGCTCATGAGGTCCGCACCTACCGTGTCATTGACCATCTGGTGTATACTCGGTAGAGGGTATGGATCTAACGGGCATGCCTTGTTCAGGTCTGTGTAGTCGATGCACATCCGCCATTTTGGTGGTTTGGGCACAAAAACAACATTGGCGACCCAGTCAGGATAAACGACCGGGCGGAGATGGCCGATCTCGGTGAGGGTTTTGACTTCGTTTCTGACGAATTCCCGGCGGTCATTGGAGAGATGCCTTGTCTTCTGTTTCACCGGTCGTGCTGTCGGGTTGACAGCCAATCGGTGGCATATCACTGTCCGGTCTACTCCTGGCATGTCCTCCGGTCCCCATGCAAAGATGTCCGAGAACTCTCTTAGTACGAATAAGACGGCTTCCTTGATCGCCGGGGGGAGCTGCCGTCCAATACGGATCATTCTTTCTGGGTGGTCAGCTTCTATGGGAATCTCTTCGACCTCATCCGACGGTTCCGGCTGTTCCTTCCTTTCAGCTTCCGCTTTCTTGGAGATTGAGTTTACTTGGGAGTTCCAGGCCTCCTTTCTGTCGATTGCCTTTTGGTAACACTTCCGGGCTGACCGGACATCTCCTCGGACGACCCCTACTCCTTCGGGGGTTGGGAATTTCATGCATAAGTGAGGCATGGAGATAATTCCTCCGATCGACACAATCGCCGGTCTCCCTAAGATAGCGTTGTGGGCGCATCGAAGGTTGACGACGATGAATTCCATCATGGTTTTGATCGTCCGGGGTCGGCTTCCAATTTCTACCGGCAATGTTATCTTTCCCTCCGGATGGATAGTATCACCAGTGAATCCAGATAAGGGAGTCCCGATGGGTGTTAACTCGATCAGTTCTAATTTTAGCTTCTGGAAGACGTCCATGTACAAGACATTCACGCTGCTGCCCGTGTCCACCATGACACGTTGGACATCGGTCCCCATGATGTCGATCGTGACGACCAATGCTTCAGTTTTGCAGTCCTCTCCCTTGGGCATATCGCTCGGGGTAAACGTGATTGGTTCTAGCTTTTGTCTCTTTTCATTAGGCTCTGATCCTATTAGTCCGATTTGGAGTTTCTCCCGGGCATTGGAACTTCCCTCCGGGCCACCGAATATGACGTGGATGACCTGTTTTCCAGTCGACTGTCGGGGCTCGGTGTCCCAGTCGTGATCTTTGTCTTTTTTGTTCTTATTTGATTTCTTGAACGGGTTTTTCCAAGACGATTTTTTCTCGTCCTTTTTGTTGGTGAACTCAGTGAGCTTTCCCGATCGTAACAACTCCTCTATGACTTGCCTGAGGGTCGTGCAGTCTTCCGTTTCGTGCCCTTTGCTGCGATGGTACGCGCAATACTTTGTCTTGTCGCGACCCTCGCGCTGTGGTTCTGGCAACTGGATCATGTTGCAAGATTGGGCAAATCGAAAGACATCGACTGCCGGTCTGTTCAAGGGGGTAAAGTCGGGTACTCTTCCTCGCCCTCGGCCGGATCTGTCGTTCGTCCTCCCCTCCTCCTGTCGGCCCTGCAGTTTTCGGCTGCTGCCGGCCTCTTGTTGGCGCTTGGCGAAATTGGCTTCACCAGCATTAGCATAGTCAGTTACCCTTCGGATTGCCTCATCGTAGGTAGCCGGAGGGTGTAGGATGAATTCTTGGTATAGGGCCCCGGCACGCAAATTGGAATGCAACACGTTGATCGCTGTCCGGTCGTCAAGGGGTTTAACCTCGCCGATCGCTGCCTTCCATTTGACGAGGAAGTCCGTCAGACACTCGCCTTCCAGTTGTTTAGCCTTTTCCAGGTAAGTGAAGTGTTTCCGGACTTCTTTGGAGGTGGCGAATTTGTGCACGAACTTTTTCGCCAACTCCGCAAAACAGGCAATTGAACCGGGCTCCAATGTTTGGAACCAGTCTGCTGCCCTCCCTGTCAAGGTTGAATAAAACGCTCGACACATTACTGCATCGGTTACTCCCATCATCAGCATGTTTCCATAGTAGGAGTTAATGTGTGCTTCCGGGTCAGTTTTTCCGTCGTAACCTTTATTCCCCGGTATTCGCAAGTCGTGGGGGTAGGGGAGGCTCATTATATCTGCCGTGAAGGGGTTGCGCAGTAGGGGCGCTTCAGGTTCGGACGACCGGTGGCCATGCTCACGCCTCCATCTACTAAATTCCTCCCGGACTTGCTGCAACAGTCCCTTAGCTTCGTTCCGCGGATCCACTCGGTCAGCAGCCCGTCGAGCCATTCTCCTAGACCTGCAGCTGCTGACCTCTCCGGACTCTTCTTGTCGGGGCGCTGGGAGGTTTACAGATTCCTCCATATCTTGCCGGGCTCCGATTCGCTGATGCACAGACGGCTGGAGACGCACGAAAGCACTCATGCGCGCGGGGACTTCTTCAGCCCCCTGCTCGTGAGCTGCTCCCGGTCCTAGCCTCGACCGGGCCGGTCGACGCTCGGATTGGGCCCGGCGGAGCTCTGGTGCCGCTGCTGACGCTGACGCTACTGACTGGCCCGGCTCGGGCACGTTCGGCGCATTCGGCATTGGCATCGGCACGTTCGGCACAGGCATGGGCATGTAGGGTTGGTAGGCGCCCGGACCTGGTGGGTACTGGTATTGGGCTCCGTAGAAGCGTTGTGGGCTTTGCCAATATGGGTACGCCGGATCAAACATCCCGGGTGCATACATCGGGTATTGGAGTGGCATTTGTCCGGGGATGCCAGGGAATGCTACTCCTGGTTGGATGAAATTAACCGGGTCCGGGGTCATCTCCCTGCCCGGTGGTGTATTGAGGTCCATCCGCAGATTCATCTGTGATCGGAGGTCTGATGTGCTCTTCTCGGCTTCCGCATCGTTATTGAAGTCCATGAATGGAAACATTTTCAGGATCGGTCTGGTGTTTATCGAGCGGCTTTCAGTTCGATCCCCACGGACGACGCCAAAATGATATTGTTTATACAGAGTGGTATATTTATACGGTCGTAAGCAAGGCTCGAATCTCTCACGTGGGTCCGGAAGGTCCGGTCTTGCCTCGTGCCAAAAGTCCCTTTCAAGGTGCATTTAATGCGCTATTTATAGGGTCAGAAAGGTGGGTCATGCCGGGCATCCGGCATTTAAGACACGCGGTGGGCATGCACCGGGTGCTACCTGTGGCCGTGTTGACGTCTGCCACGCGGCGCTAAGGGTCTGACTCCTCCTCCCCTCTAGCCGAGAGTCATTTATGGACCTCCGGTCGGGGTCGCCCAGTAAATCGGTCACTTCTCGGCGGGTTCTACGAGGTGTCTCGCTGACCGGGGGTCGACCGTGCCTACCGGTCGTTCCCAGTCGGGAAGGGTAGGAGGGCTTACTTCCAAGGGTCGGGTAATGACACGGTCTCGATACGGTCGGGCACCGGGCGTACATCCTCAGGGTCCAACATATATCCCTATCATGCTTATTTATTGATTTCATGATGGAAGTGGGAGATTTGTTTGCATATTTGGAGTTAGGGTCCAATTCCTTGGATGATTTAGGACTTAGCATGCTTGACAAGAGATTTCTAGCATGCTAGAGCCTAAATCTCGATCACTTGCATTTCCCACCTTAGATCTGAGAGGGCAAAGTCTGGAATGAGGTGTAGGCAAGTTGTTTGATAAAATATTTCATATGTGTAACATTTTCACTCGGGTGCTCTATTACACCATGATAGGCCATCAAGACCTAAAATGGCTATAGCAATAGCAAACACTTCACTTGAGGTCCAACAAACACATTCTTGCAATTCCTATGTTAAACACTAGAAGCACCATTGCAAGGAAAGGACTAATCCATACCCCCATTCTATCTCAATTGCTAAGTTTACTTGTTTGAATACAATCTAGACGAGCTCAAACTCCTTCACCGCTAGGGCTTCAGATCTCAACACAGTGGCGGTGGCGACGACAGTGGTAGGAGTTGAGAGAGGCGGAGGCGTCAATAGTCACAAGAAGAGGAGAGGAAGTGGCGGTGAAGAGGGAAGTGGAGGCGTGGCGGAATAGTCACGACGGTGTCGTTGGTGGTGAAGGAGTCACGATGACGATTTGCTGCAGAGGAGAAGAGAGGAGAGGGTTTGATGTCAACAGCGATTTGTTGTAAAGGAGAGGGTTTGCTACTATGGGTTCATGATGTGTAGATTTGATGCTTGATTTTTCGCTACCCATTCTGGGAGAACATGTAGCAGAAAGTATATAGAGTTCTTTTTTTTTTTTTAAACCGCGACATTTTTCTTTAAAAAAGGTAGCAATTTCTTGTTCATTTATTTATGATTATGTCACCGCGTTTTTTTTTTAATAATATACTGCCCTTCTTTTAAAAAAAAAAAAAATTTCTCGGACTGTGTATGTTTTACTTGTCTTATATTCTTACGGAGTATTTTATATTCATAAATTGGGAAAATGGCACTTTTTCCC